TATGTGAGTATAATGTTATGTGTTATATATCATGACAACAGGGAATAAAGTCAATGTATATCGTATACATACAGGTAACTAATGGGAATTCTTAAATCATACATACAAAACCTAACTGTAAAGGAAACCTAACCTAACCAACACTGAACAGCATTATCCAAGCGTGGTCTCTCTCTCACACACCCCTACGTCAAGGTTGTCAGCAGTACAGCACCGCCTCATAAATGACCCTCGTACACAGGTGTTCAATATATTTTTTACACATTAGCATCACACGTGTTGAGTTAATCCTTGCTGGTGTCTGATTAACTTAATGTATTTGGGGTTATTTCTTAGTATTTAAACAATATTCAGATTTTGTTATTATTATTATTATTATTATTATTATTATTATTATTATTATTATTATTATTATTATTTTATTATTGTTAAATATTATTATTATTATTATTATTATTATTATTATTATTATTTTATTATTTTATTATTATTATTATTATTATTATTATTATTATTATTATTATTATTATTATTTCTATTTAATAATACCTACATCAGGTACAGGTGAGACAAGCCTCAGCCAGCCTACTCACTGAGAGCCTCGTCTTCTTGCCTAATACTGCATATATTTTGAGGCAGGATGTTGAGGCTCACGTGATACAGGTATAGACTCAGCGGCAGAGTCAGGAGTCTGTATCAAATTTAATGAACAGGTGGTGGTGGCGGTGTGTGGTGGTGTGTGATGGTGGTGGTGTGTGATGGTGGTGATGGTGGTGGTGATGATGGTGTATGGTGGTGTGTGTGGTGGTGTGTGATGATTGTGTATGGTGTGTGGTGCTGGAGGTGGTGATGGCGGCAGTATTCAGTGTACTAGGTAAGGTTAGGTAATTATGAATGATCGTAATGATAGTTAATTAAATAGAGGTTATATTACTGTTTAATGAGGGAGTTTGATGGCGCCTTGGTATAGTGTGTTTATGTTTGCAATAGTTAGTTAATTAAAGGTAAAGAGAAGGTGTCGGATCTAAAGTCTCCGAGGTAATTAGATTCCAAATCACAATTTTGTATTATTTATGTAAAGAAGAAAATAAACTGAATTCTTTTTATATTATCTTACGTTCGCATATATGGTCATTGACAATCCTACGCTTTCCAAAACAAAAAACAACCACAAACAAATACACACATATGCAGTTAAGTTACATACATACACATACATATATGAAAACACATACTATAAAATTTACTATACGTACACACACATACACACATATGGCATACATACAATAGATCACACACACACACACACACACTCATGTATCCTAATTAAAAAAACGCACACGCCTATACAGACACATATTAACAGACAGACAAATATCACAAAAAATAAGGTGAAAAGAGGAGAAGAAAACGAGAGGAAATAAAGAAGAATGAGAGAAGTAAAAGAAGATTAAGAGGAAGAACAGAAGGCGTGAGGAAAGGGAAGAGGTACCTGGACAACACAACACAACAACACACACGAGGTACCTGGACAACACAACACAACACAACAACACACACGAGGTACCTGGACAACACAACACAACAACACACACGAGGTACCTGGACAACACAACACAACAACACACACGAGGTACCTGGACAACACAACACAACACAACAACACACTGGACAATACAACAAATACAACAAATATACACGAGGTATTTGATAACATAATACAAATAAATACACACGAGGTATTTGGGATAACATAACACAACAGCAATAACACACACGAGGTACTTGATAATACAACAACACACGAGGTAATGGATAACATAACAAAACAGCTAATGAGGTAATTTGATACATAAATACAACAATACATAATGGTGTTCTGATAACACACACAAATACAATACACATGAGGTAATTGACAACATGGAACAAATACAACAACACACACGAGGTATTTGGATAACATAATAACACAACAACACACACGAGGTAATTTGGATAACATAAATACAACAACATTACTAATGAGGTATTTGATAACATAACACAAATAACACATATGAGGTAACGACAATACACGACAACACAACACAACACAACAACACACATGAGGTACCTGGACAACACAACACAACACAACAACACACATGAGGTACCTGGACAACACAACACAACACACCCACAAGAAGTACATGGACAACACAACAAAAGGTACATCTTAAATAATAGACCCGAGATTGTTAGAGTTGTGTCATACAACAGTTAACCTGTGAACCACCTCATTAGCGGCCTCAAACACTAAACATGTGTTACCATAGTTTATTATTGCCTTAACACTTACATAACATCCTTTGAAGTCTAAAGTGTGTGGTGTTAGTGGTGTTGAGGGAGAGTGGTGTTAGTGGTGTTGAGGGAGAGTGGTGTTTGAGGAGGTAATGTTAGTGATGTAGTGATAGTGGTGTTGAGGAGAGTGGTGTTAGTGATGTAGTGGTGTTAGTGGTTGTGAGAATGATGTTAGTGGTGTTAGTGGTGTAGTGGTGTTAGTGGTGAGAGAGAGTGGTGTTAGTGGTGTTGAGGGAGAGTGGTGTTGTGATTAGTGGTGTGGATAGTGGTGGTGTTGAGGAGAGTGGTGTTAGTGGTTGTTGAGGGGAGTGGTGTTAAGTGATGTAGTGGTGATAGTGGTGTTGAGGGAAAGAGTGGTGTTAGTGGTGAGGAGATGGTGTTAGTGGTTAGTGGTGTTGAGGGAAAGGAGGAGTGGTAGTGGTGTTGAGGAAGGTGTGGTGTTGAGGGAGAGTGGTGTTGAGGAAGGAGAGTGGTGTTAGTGGTGTTGAGAGGTAGTGTTAGGTGTTGAGTGGGTGAGGAGTGTGTAGTGGGGAGAGTGGTGTTAGTGGTGTTAGTGGTGTTAGTTGTTGTGGTGTTGAGGGAGAGTGTTAGTGGTGTTGAGGGAGAGTGGTGTTAGTGGTGTTGAGGTGATGGTGTTGAGGAAGTGGTGGTGGAGAGTGGTGTTAGTGGTGTGTTGAGGGGAGAGTGGTGATGGTGGTGTTGAGGGGAGAGTGGTGTTGGTGGTGTTGAGGGGTGGTGTTAGTGGTGTTGAGGAGTTAGTGGTGTTGAGGAGAGTGGTGTTAGTGGTGTTGAGGAGAGTGGTGGTGTTGAGAGTGGGTTAGTGGTGTTGAGGGAGAGGGAGTGGTGTGGTGTTAGTGGTGTTGAGGGAGAGTGGTTGTGGTGGTGAGGAGAGTGGTGTTAGTGGTGTTGAGGGAGTGGTGTTAGTGGTGTTGAGGAGAGTGGTGGTGGTTGAGGGAGAGTGGTGTTAGTGTGTGCAGGGAGAGTGGTGTTTGGTGGTGTGAGGGGAGAGTGGTGTTAGTGGTGTTGGTGTTAGTGGTGTTGAGGGAGAGTGGTGTTAGTGGTGCTGGTGAGTGGTGTTGAGGAGGCGGGTTGAGTGGTGTGAGGGAGAGTGGTGTTAGTGGTGTTGAGGAGAGTGGTGTTAGTGGTGTTGAGGGGAGTATTGGTGGTGTTGAGGGAGAGTGTGTTAGTGGTGTTGGGGAGTGGTGAGTGGTGTTAGTGGTGTTGAGAGTGGTGTTAGTGGTGTTGAGGAGAGGGTGTTAGTGGTGTTGAGGAGAGTGGTTGTTGTGTTTGATTGTTAGTGGTGTGGATGGGTGGTGTTTGGGAGTGGTGTTGAGGAGAGTGGTGTTGGTGGTGTTGAGGTGTTAGTGGTGTTGAGGGAGAGTGGTGAGTGGTGTTGTGTTAGTGGTGTTGAGAGAGTGGTGTTAGTGGTGTTGAGGGAGAGTGGTGTTAGTGGTGTTGAGGAGAGTGGTGTTAGTGGTGTTGAGGGAAGTGGTGTTAGTGGTGTTGTTGAGTGGTGTTGAGGAGAGTGGTGTTAGTGGTGTTGAGAGAGGGTGTGGTGTAGGGAGATGGTACGGTGTTAGTGGTGTGAGAGTGAGGTGTTGAGAGAGGGTGTTAGTGGTGTTAGTGGTGTTGAGGGAGAGTGGTGTGTTTAGGTGGTGTTGAGAGAGTGGTGTTAGTGGTGTTGAGGAGAGTGGTGTTAGTGGTGTTGAGGAGAGTTAGTGGTGTTGAGGTGGTGTTGAGGAGAGGTGTTAGTGGTGTTGAGGGAAGTGGTGTTGAGTGCTGAGGGAGAGTGGTGTTGGTGGTGTTGAGGGGAGAGTGGTGTTAGTTGGTGTTAGTGGTGTTGGTGGTGTTAGTGGTGTTGGGAGAGTGGTGTGGTGAGTGGTGTTGAGGGAGAGTGGTGTTAGTGGTGTTGAGGGAGAGTGGTGTTAGTGGTGTTGAGGGAGAGTGGTGTTAGTGGTGTAGTGGTGTTCGTGGTGTTGGGGAAGAGTGGTGTTAGTGGTTGCTGAGGAGGTGGTGTTAGTGGCGCCACTATTTTAATACCGCCTGATACATACAGTATGAGGGTAATTAACAAGTACCGAACCTTTTCGTTTAATTATTTTACAGCCTTGAAATATGAGCCGATCTACAAGTGTTTGTGGGAAGTACAGGAATAATTAAGTGAGGACCGGCAGTAAACACGGGGCCCACCCAGCCGGCAAGAGCAGCAGGAGGAACACGTGTTACCCGGAGATTCATAATATTTGTCACACGCACGGCCGCCCTCCACAAATAGTCAGCCTCCCGTCAGCGTCGCCTGCGTTATGCCGTCAACTGCCTGGCCTGGCCCTCACCCTGCCAGGGCTAGTGAGCAGCTCCTTGTAGGCTCTCTTCACACTGGCACTCCTCCTCGAGTGCGGAGGTGTTTGGAATGCAACAACGTCATGTAAATAGCAGATTTCCTTTATTGAGATCAGGTCACGTTCACAGCTCAATATGGAGGGTGCGTTGCCACCGACTCCGCCTACAGATATGGAGTAGCCACTCACGGCGCCCTGGCGGAAATGGGCGGAGTTTGTCGCTCGGGTGGCTCGCAGTGTGGCTCCGTGGCGGCGAGGAACCAACACAAAACTGGGTGGGCAGTACAAGAAGATCTCAATACCATTGCTGGCCGACAGTTACAGCTAAACCGTAGGGGCAGAGGAACGTCGCGTTCACCCTGTGCCGCCCCCCCAGTGACACTCGGAAGGAGGATTATGGATATTTAACATTATTAATATCATGTGTGTGTGTGATGGATTAAGGCGTGGCGTCGCCCTGGACCGACGCACTGTTGGAGTGACCATGTTAAGTGTCGCCGTGTGGGACGCCCGCTCAGCCATGGCTCGCACTCCGCTCAAACACTCCTTCTCCATCAACTCCATCCTCCCGGAGACAGCACTCGACAATCCCACCGCCATCCCCAGGGGCGTTCCGACGCCCAAGGATGAGTTACTTATGGACGACGTGGAGATGACGACGGCTGAAGATGACGATGAGGAGGAGGTGGACATCGACGTGACGGGCGCCGTGAGTCCCGGGCTGCGTCTGACTCGGGCGGAAGACCACAACGATAAAGACGACAAAGAGGTGAAAAAGGACGACGGCGGAGAGAAGAAAGACGGCGAGGAGAAGAAGAAGCACGAGAAGCCGCCCTTCAGCTACAACGCCCTCATCATGATGGCCATCAGGTCCTCGCCGGAGAAGCGACTAACTCTGAATGGCATCTACGAGTTCATCATGAAGAACTTCCCGTATTACCGGGAGAACAAACAAGGTTGGCAGAACTCTATCCGTCACAACCTGAGTCTTAATAAGTGTTTTGTTAAGGTGCCGCGCCACTATGATGACCCCGGCAAGGGCAACTACTGGATGCTTGACCCCTCGGCCGACGATGTGTTCATCGGTGGCACCACCGGCAAGTTACGGCGCCGGTCTACTACAGCCTCAAGAAACCGCCTGGCAGCCTTCAAGCAGTCACTCCTCGGTCGCTTCGGGTGTTATCCGCCCTTCAGCCTGGCGCCTTACGCCGCCGCTGCCGCTGCAGCAGGACTGAGCGGAGCATTGGCGCCTGGATCACTGCCTGTGTCCCTGCCAGGGGCCCTGCCCGGTGCCCTTGCCTCAGCACCTCTGTATCAGCAAGCAACAGCTGCTGCAGCAGCCGCAGCTGCGCTCTACCGCGGCTACTCCCCCTCTTACTACACCAGCCCGCTACCCGCGGGTCCGGCGCCGCTGACGGGTCCAGCGCCGCCTTCCGGGCTACCCAAACCTACCGCCCTCACGCCTGCGGCCTCCCACCCCCCTACCACCTCCTTTAGCGTAGACCGATTGTTATCCGACACGCCCGTCAGTGCACCGCCACCGTCGTCATCGCTGGGTGGGCCCCCGCCCCTCCTGCTCGGGGGGTTGGGCGGCGCTCCCACCCTCTCCCCCTACGATATGTACCGCTCCTCCCTGCTGTCACAGGCGGGCTTGGGCCACACCTTGGGGGGCATGGGAGTCGGCCTCAACCCAGGCCTGGCAGGCGCTAGCATCGGAATGGTCGGCCTCGGGGGCGGCACTCCGGGCACCAGTGTGGGCGCCGTCGTCACTAGCAGCAGCAGTAGCAGCAGCACCAGCGAAGGGGCGGCACGCCCTCCAGTATTCAAGCCCGTGACGGTGGTGGCGCGGCCCAGCTAGTGCCGCCCACAGTGGGCGGCGAAGGGCAGTCCTGTATATACTGTATGTATGTATGGTTTGTTGTGTACAGTCTCTGTCTGACTGTGTCTAACGCCAAAGTTGTACAGCAGCTGTGTATAAATGTTATAAATTATATATCGTAAAATAATAATT